CCACCTGCTCTCAGGTATGTGGCACGTTGCCCAGCAGGTGAGAGGGGCAGCATATAAACTTAATAAATAACTGCAATTAGAAGTCCTTGGTGCTCTCTCAGCTTGGTTGGTTTCTTGCAGACATTTCATTACCCAACTAGATGCCAACACTGAGGGTGTTACCTTGCTGGGTCATGAAACGTCTGCAAGAAGCCAGCCAAGCTCAGAGAGCACCAAGGACCCCACAGCTCTCTCCTCCTCCTACCAAAACCACTTTCTTCTAGCGTGGAGGATGTTACCTAGTTGGGTAATGAAACACCTCAACGAAAATCACCAAGCTCGGAGTGCACCAAAGATCCCTCATTCCAGTATTATATTTATTAAATCTAATAAATAATTTCACCCTCCCTTTGTCAACTAAAAAGAGACTCCTTTGGTCTTTTTAGCTGCCAGCAAAAAGGAGAGTGCGGGAAAACAGTGCATTCCTTAAGTGCCTAGATAATCACCCTGGCAGCCCAAAGTTGTCAAGAGTGCAAGATTATTACTGGAGATCATGACTGATGACTCTTGGCTATGGATGTGTCCCAGTGGAGAATACACATCCAGGGGATGGTGGGAAGACCCAGGGTCAAGGATGAGATGAATGATGTATTTTAGTGTCGGCTACACCCAGGTAACATCGACATGACCACTCGTAATAAATCTATTTTCTCTGAGGTGCGGCTAGAGACTTATGATTTGAATGGGGGTGGGTTTGTTGGAGTCCTGACACCCTTCCTCCTCCTCCATAAAACCTGCATCACCCTGGGGGCCCCAGGCATATTTGCAGACCCACACTTCTTCAGAGCCTTGCCAAAGAATGTCAAAATGAGGGCCAGCCTTACCTCCGCAGGGTGGGAGCCACCACGGGGAAGGTCCCACCAGATGGACCTCAGTAAGTTTTATTATGACTTTTATTGTCAGAGTACAACATGTGTACGATGAGATTGGCTGAGCCTCCCTTTGTGCACCCCACCTCCCCCACACACACAACTCACAGTGAGGACAGAAGTCCCTAACCCAGTCCCAATCTTATTACACAATGTGACCTTGTTGCGCAACGCGCCAGCACCGCATGTCTATCATACTAGGTTGACATGCGAGTTATTTTCTGTTCAGGAGTCTGACAGCCCACCGGTAGAAGCTGTTCGTCAGCCTGTTGGTGCGGCTGGCTATGCTTCTATATTTCCTCCCCGATGGTTGGAGAATGAAGAAGTGCTGAGCGGGGTGTGAGTTGTCCCTGAGAAGTTTCCTCACTCTTCTAAGGCAGCGAGCCCTAGCGAGGTCATCTAGTGGTATCGGGGAACAGCCCACGATGTTTTGTGCTGTGCTCAGCACCCCCTGTAATGTCCTTCTATCCACGGCTGTCAAGCCAGCATACCACACCGTAAAGCAATGTGTGAGGATGCTTTCTGACTGGTAAAAGGAGGTCATCCGTCATTGTTCCACTTTATTCTTTCACAAAACCCTACGGAAATGGAGTCTCTGTTGGGCCTTTCTGGCCGCCTGGGTTGTGTTGGTTTTCCAGGGAAGATCTTCGCTGAGGTAGACTCCCAGGAATTTAAAGGAGAAAAGTCTCTCCACACAGCCCCCCTCGATGTAAATTGGGGCTGGTTCCTCTCTCTTCTTCCGGAAGTCTGACACCATCTCCTTTGTCTTGCTGATGTTCAGGTGCAGGTTGTTTTCTAGGCACCATGAAGGTAAATTTTTGAACTTCCTCCCTGTACGTTGTTTTGTCTCCAGTGAGGGGGCTCATAACATCTCCTGCCTCCCCACTCTGGTGGGTCAGGTGGAGGTAATGGCTGCATGGCTGCATCAGGAATTCTGGGAGTTGAAGTCCACAAGTCAGGGCCATCCTATCCCATATTCTGATCTAAAGATTCTCTCCTGCCCCAAAGCAGAATTCCTGGCCTGCAAAGGTTGCGCTAGAGCCATGATGCCAAACTTATGGCATGCGTGCCACAGGTGGCACGCAGGGCCATTTGTGCCGGCACGCGAGCTGCAGGCAAACTTGCCTCACTGTGCATGCG